AGGGAATTCTGGGAGTTGAAGTCCACCCATCTTAAAGTGGCCAAGTTTGGACAACACTGATCTAGCAGATCTGCCCTGATCTCTAACCGAACGCAGGTATGGTATGAAATGGGAGAATCTTACAGCACTTGCTGTGTAATTATTTCCATCTGATGTCTGAATCATGAACAGGCAGCATAGCCTTGTGATACACAGCCTTGTGTATAAATGTCCTTGCGTGCCCTAGTTACTGTTGTATAGAACAGCCATACAACTGGTGTGTGGGTGGGTTGTTGTTGTTGTTGTTGTTATTATTATTATTATTATTATTATTATTATTTTGTGCCTTTGAGTCCGTTTTTGACTCCTAGCAACTGCCTGGACTAGTCCCTGCACTTTTCTTGGCCAGGTTCTTCCAAAGTGGCTTGCCCTTGCCTCTTTCCTAGGGCTGAGAGTGACTGGCCCAAAGTCACCCTGCTGGCTTTGTGCCTAAAGCGGGACTAGAACTCAGGGTCTCCAGGTTTCTAGCTTGTTGCCTTAACCACTACATCAAACTGCCTCTCTACAACTAAAAAGACCGTGAGATGCTCTGGATTTGATTCCCCCAAGGTGCTTCAGAATGCACAAGGGCACTAATGTAGCGTCTATCTATAACTTTTTAAAGCAGCTACATTTTTTCCTGAGAAGTACATGGGAACTTGATCATTGTACGTATGGCCGAGCTATCACAGATCACAACTTTCACATCAATCCACAAGACTATATATTTGAGACCCACCGGGCTTTTTCATATATCAATTACCAGTATGCTTCATATCTCAAAGTGCTGGTTCTAGCCAGGCAAACTTACATGCTTTTCTGCTTTCCTGAAATCGGTGGAAGATACTCCATTTCATGGCTCTAGTTATTACAAAGCCAAATTGGTCTCCCCAAATAAAAGGACTTTTTAATGGGCATCCCAGAACTATGTCTGTCCTTCTACAGACTCTTAAATCTTTGGAGACATGTGAAGGCACGCCACCCCTTTTTCAAGCTGCCTTTGTTTGGTGCTTATGTGCTTGTCCTGCTGTTTTGCTACACTTTTTTTCAATTTATTGGTTCAATAAATAAATGGCAAGTTATTTGGGGAAAAGCATTATATACTGTAAGTCTGAGATGACAGTAAGCGTTGTCTAATCAAGTGATGTCTAATCAAGCCCAATCGTGTGCACTTGCCCTATTAATGCTAATTTATTTAAAGAAATGCTTAAAAATGTGGAATTCTTGCCTTGCTTTTCTGGACTCTGAGTTCATGGAGTTGTGATACACATTTGTTTGTTAACACAGCATAAACTGTATAGCTTTATTAAATTTATGCAGGGTCTATTTGACTGACTGATAAATCTATCTTATCTATCCCTTCCCCTTTCTTTATATCCATATCTATATCCATATCACATTCTGCGTGATCTGGATTTAGAGAGGAAAAGGTGATTTGGAGTGGATATGGATTGCGCACACAGCACCTGTTAGCTCTTTCTCAAATCAAACACTTCTTTCTTAGGATTGTGCTGCAGCTGTGTGAACTTTGGAAAAGACTACCTTTTAAGGAACTGATAAGAGGTGCCAAGTGAGCTCCCTTGAATGCTCCAAATCACCTTTTCTTAATTCAGTCTGGATTGCTGCATAACTATTTATCAACCAACCAACCAACCAACCAACCAACCAACCAACCAACCAACCAACCTATCATCTATCTATCCATCCATCCATCCGGTGGCACTGTTGCTGGCTTGCAAAAAGAGTTTAGTTTGCTGCAGAATCTGGCTAACAGATGCCTCGTCTTGCATCCTTTCCTGAATCATTAATATGGATACCCTAATGTACAATATGGAGTACAAGCAAATTGTGCAGAACTTCAGTGCCCTTGCTGCAGACTTTTCCCCGTGATGATTTCATCCAGCACTTCATTCTGATCAGGAAGTAGAAGAGCTTGATGAAAAAAAAAAGCCATGCTAATTTCATGTTAAAATGAAGACACAGTAAGAGGACAAAAGCTTTAACTCATGGACTCCTACTTCTATGAGAACCCATTACAGCATTAATATTCTTCTGATACCTCTGTGCCCCATCCCTATTAATTCCATCGGCACTGTGTCGTCTGGGCCTGGCCTGAAGGCATGCACGCCACAGGTGCACTGCAGCGACATGAAGACAGTGTTAAAGCTCAGAATTATGGTGAGGCATAAGAAGCATCAGCAGAAAATGCACAGTGGGAAATTGTTGTTCCTACTGACAACAATAACATCAGTGCCTATCTTATGGCGACTGCTCTATATATTTGGAAATAACTATTTTACGGGTCCTTTCTTTCCTCTTTGGTGCTTTCTCAAACATCCTGATTAGACTTATTTCCGAAGCTTGTTTGAACAGCCTGTCACTATTTGTTTAAGTCTGAAACCTGATTTAAACAAACATCCTGACTTATTTTATGCACTACGCCAACAAAGCGCCAAAGACAGAGGTGGGAAGCAGAGAAGGATGATTGGGAAGGGAAGCTGCAAACACCCCAGCATCTAAAGTCAAGTAAACTCTAATTCATTATTGAGTGTTTCATTATGCTGATCATCTAAAAACTTTTGAAGCTGCTTCCTACCCAGTGATATTGCTGGTCCCTTTTATTTTAAAGTAACTGTGCTCTGCCTTAGGCT